CCAACCTTAGAAGCATAATCTTCTTGCAGTAGTAAAAATTGAGGCACAGCAACAAATCCAACCAATTTTTTTCTCGGTCAAGTCACCATGGACAAACATAACATCAAAACCCTTTCTTGCGGTATTTCTTTGATCGTACGCTTGTAAGAACTGAACCACCTAGCCTGCAAGTAGCCATGTCTCCTCCAAGGTGGTACATGCATGTCCATTGTTTTCATAGACTTCTTGATAGCGTTGCACATTAATCTCACAACCTGCTTGAGCTCATCTATTTTACCCACAAAAACTAGAGGAAAGAAGTTCAGTAACGAAGTGTAATGGTCTGTTGGCCGGGCAATTTTGAATTCTCCGGCTAGAAAGACTTCAACGATGTATCGAGTTCCGGCAACGTTGACGTCAATGTACTCATAATTCCCAGATGGATATCGTCCAGTTTTCTCCCACTTTGATTTGCAAAGACCTGTGGAATCAAGGGTCAAAGATGTTACAAAATAGTGAGGCACAGCAAACACTATGCGATTGATTACACTGTGATAAAATTATTTCAGTATTCTATCAGAATTTACAAATATTTTTTTTGGTTAAGTTAAAATTCAGTTGGATTGAGGAATTAAAAACCTTAATATTTTTTTTGGTTCCACAATTAAAAGTGTCTGGATCAACTTATGCGTATTTTGACTACGGCTAATAATCGAACTGAGCTTGACTCGTTTTCAACTTGCTAAACAAATAAAATTAAATAATTTTTTAAATTCGTTTATAAAACAAACTCGACAGGCTTGGTTTGAACTTGATAGATTTGACTCTTGTTTGAGTAAAAGTTTAAACTCAGTTTTTATAAGTTGAAATATAATCAAATGAATTTCAAATAAATTATTTTTATCTTTTTTTTATACTTAAAACAATGAATCATTGAGAACAAACAATATTTTCAAATTATATAATATAATACGAGCAATAAAATATAATTTTGATAAACTTGAAATAATATTTAATGTAGGTACATATATACCTAATACTTTTTATTAATATTTTGTATATAAAAATTATTCACGTACAACGCACGTGGTGTATTATTAGTGTATAAAAATAGGTATATCACCACATTTTGATCATGGTAGAAATAACTTAAACATCTAAGGAAATCACTAGAGATAGAGAATTGTAAATTCAAAAAGAATAGGAATCACAAAATTTATCAAAAATTGAGTATTGACTTAATATATATCATATCGGATCAAAATCAAATATATCAAAACGCAAATTGAAAGCAGTTCAATCACCCCACTACGAATTAAAGGTTGTTAAACTCCACACTTTAGCAATGACCAGCAACATATTCTCACTTTCCATCCTAAGAAATTTCAAGAGAAAATTTCTCACCTTGAAAATATGAAAAACAAATTTAATAAAGCAAATTTTGAAAAGAGTTCACTGTCAAAGCATCTAATTCAAAATCAATTGGCTATGAGTAGAGTGACCTTTGAGTATAGAAAACACTCTAGACGAACGTAATTATTTGATGTGACATACGAGATCTCTTACTATCCTCCATCACGTGAAACCTTGACTTGCACGAGGGTCAACAACACAAGCAAACAACTATTCATACTTACATATTCAAATGGACAGGAGGCTTAACATATTCAACTAACACTCCTTGGATTTTGATCATATTTCATTGACATGCCCTCTGATTTTTGTAAACCCCAATAGTTTGTATATGTATTTCACGAACTACCTTATCATCACTCTCGTTACTAACAATAAAAAAAGTATGATGTGACTGCATATTTCCTTACGAATTACGATACTTACTCTTAGCTCTCTAAACAGAACAAGATTACACCACCATATAATGAAATTGAATATTAAGAAGGTGTTATCTTGATAAAATAAATTGACTATTAATTTAGTGTCAATTTATTGTCGATTGATGAAATTAAACATAAATTTGATGCTAAATTAATAAGAGCAATGTTATTGGGACCAATGGAGTGATAGTGAAATGCATTTAATACTGGGGTCTCACCATTAAATACATGAGCAATGCTATTGGGACATAATTTGGAGACACAATAAGTTGTCACCAATGAAATAATAATAAATTCATTTAATGCTGCAATGAGACCCATCATTAAATATAATTCACTGTCATTTCATTTGTGACAACTCATTATGTCCACAAATTATGTCCATAAATTATGTTTCAATAGCATTAGTGTAAATACATTCCACTATCATAAATTGATCACAATTCATTATGTTCATAAATTATGTCTCAATAACATTAGTGAATTAATAAACTAACATCAATTTGATGAAATTGAATATTAATTTAATAAAATTAAATTTTAAATTGATACAATTAAATATTAAATTCGGTGTTAATTCACAAAATTGAATAAAATAAAATTAAAAATTAATTTGACATAACTTAAGGTTAATTTCATGTTGATTAGATAAAATTGAATACTAATTTAAAGTTAATGTAATGAAACTAAAGGTTAATTTGTGTTAATTTAATAAAATCTAATCACCCATTATCAGCGTCCACCCGCCCTATAAATATAGCTTGATACACTCCCAATTCCCAACGGAAAAAAAAACCAACCGCCTCTCTCTTTTTTGAAACATCCGCCTCTCTCTCTGGAAACCTCCCTCTTCGTTTCTCTCAAACAGGAGCTCACTCACCCTGCAACGGCCGAGACCGCCGCTGTACCAATTACCATTCCTCCGATTACCACCGCCGCGGTACCAATTACCCCCGCCGCGGTACCAATTGTCACCGCCGCTGCCACACTACCAAACCCATAACCACCGCGGCCACCTCTGGGACCACCACCCCTGGGCTTGTCGACGGGGACTCCGTTGGGCCCAGTGACATTGATGGCCATCGGATTTGATCGCCGATTGGGGGACTTCGCCTTCTCCGTAGGGTCTGATGAGCCCATAGCCCCATCTGGTCGTTGAAGCGGACCACCTTGCCCAATGATCTAGGGTTTCTTCCTCGAAAGAAACGGTTCTGCCGCCATTGCCAAATAATTTATGGCAAAGCTCAAATTCTTATCTTGCCCTAACTCGTTTGAAAGGTGAGTGGATTAAAGATTTCTGAAATCTTTTGTTATCTGTTGTTCCTTTTTGTTCGGGTTATTAATTGATCTTTTCGTATTAAATTGGATTCTTAGGGTTTCGTTCAATCGCTTTTAGTGCTTAAATATTTCTATTTTCTTGAAAATAAGAATTTGTTGTTTGTCTCTCATTCATAAGTAAAGAGCTGGTTTCCTATTCTTATCCCTGTCTTGCGGTGTCAACTCATTTATTTTGTTTCTTGAATTTCTTTTTGCTGATTGTTGTGTTTCTTGAATTTATTTTCACAGATTATTTTCTTTCTTCAATTCTCTCTCTCCATCTGTGCGCGTGTATAGATCGATTTTTTCGGTAGTTGGAACCTTAACGAATCATGATCAAATGATGAAAGGTTTACCACACTAACAGAGGGAGACAGTTCAGATGCACAAATTTAACTGATTATGCGTTTTAAGGCATGAAATTGTCAACTTGTAAATGAGTTTTGGTGAAGACTAAATAAGTTTTTGAACTAAATTGTTTTTTAACTCACAGGAGGAAAAAAGTTTTGCATGACGGTTGATACACGGACTCAGCAGGAGCCAGAATCCATGCTTGCGGCAATGTTCCGTGTTCGCCACACTATCTGCCAGGATTCTGAGAAGGTATATATGCACACACAAATACGCCCATAGTCTACATTTGGTAAAAGTCTATTGTATTGTTTAAGGTATTGTTTGTGTATTTATTTCCTTTTAATACGTCTACTTTTTTCTAATCAGCTATTGTATTATGTCTACTGTGCTGTTCACATATTAGTTTCCCCTATAATAGGGTGATTTCTGGTTTTTTTTGGCTCCCATTACTCCGCCAAATGTGCATCCTATTTCTTCCCTTGGGTTTTCTCCCTCTTTATTGTTGTGGTATGGTTGGTTTGGTTGCTGATCTGAGTTTCTTTGAAGTAGGGGACTGGGCATACAACACTCAGAAAGAGAGAGCAAAAGCTGCTAACATTCCCAGAATTCGCCTTCTTGGGCTATCTGACTTTAGTAAGAAGCTGAAATGACCATCTTCTTCGCCTTAATTTTCCAAACTTGTATGTAGAATCTACCAATTACTCACGTCATGGAAACAAAACACTTTTTGGCAAACTGTTAGTCTTCTGAAGGAGGGAACGCCGTATTGCATGAGTTGTTGGTATCATATACACACACACACACAAATATCTGTATATCTCTAATTCCTAGGCTATAGGATACATAAGTGTTTCATTTGCCATTTATTATCCTCTCTTTGCTTGATTGCAGTTCGCCTCCTTATTAATGTTTTACCTAACCTTTAAGTGCTTAGCATTTCTTTGATAATATTTTTTCTATCATAGAAATTATATTTTATTTATTTTTCTATTTTCTTTCTATTAAATTGTTAAATGTTTGAAACAAAATTGAATTATTTGAAAAGAGAGCAAAAGGATAACGCATGGAAGAACATTAGGAGTTTGTAGCATGTAGAAGATACTAAAAAAACATAGAATTCAAAGAGGATTTAGGCCTTAGGGCTTGGGCTTAGGGCTTTTAGGGTTTTGGGTCAAGGTTTAGGGGTTAGAGGTTTGGGGTAGGGGTTACGGGGATAAGGGCTAAGAGTTAAGGTTTAGGGATTAGAGATTTGGGTTTATTGTTATTTTGCTTCTTTTGCTTCACCTCCTCATCATTTTCCTCCTATTTTTGTCTCTTGTTGTTTATTTAGATTTTGATATTTATGTACGTAACAAATCTATTTTGTGTTTTGATTTCAGTTGTTTGTAGAATGGATGTTTACTTATGAAAGATTAAGAAGAGTTGAACTAGATAAGTTTGCAAAGCGAGCTTATGATTGAAAAGATAAGTATACTTATTCGTCCAAGTTTCGTTGACTTTCTTTTATATGTAAAATATGTTTTACACTTGACTATTTCTACTTGTTTTTGTGTTTCTTGTTTATTATGATCATTCTTTCTATGGTTTTTATCCCCCAACACTCTCATTATCCGATAGGTTTCTTTTCATTTTTCGTTGTTATTTTCATGTTTTACCTAACCTTTAAGTGCTTAGCATTTCTTCGATAATATGTATTTTGTTCGCTTTTGTATTATAGAAATTATGTTTTATTTCTTTTTTTATTATCTTTCTATTAAATTGTTAAATGTTGGAAAGAAAATTGAATTATTTGGAGAGAGAACAAAAGGATAACGCATGGAAGAACATTAGAAGTTTGTAGCATGTAGAAGATGCTAATAGAACATAGAATTCAAAGAGGGTTTAGGGCTTGGGGCTTATGGCTTTTGGGGTTTAGATGTTAGAGGTTAGGGGTAGGGGGTTGCGGGGACAAGGGCTAAGAGTTAAAGGTTTAGAGGTTTAGGGGATAGGGATTTGGGTTTATTGTTCTTTTGCTCCACCTTCTCATCATTCTTCTTCTATTTTTTTCTCTGATTGTTTTTTGTTGTTCTTTAGATTTTCATATTTATGTGCCTAATAAATCTATTTTGTGTTTTGATTTCAGTTGTTTGTGGAATAGATGTTTGCTTATAGAACTTATGTTTTATTTCTTTTTTTTTATTATCGTTCTATTAAATTGTTATATGTTGGAAACAAAGTTTAATTATTTGGAGGGGAGCAAAAGGATAAAGCATGGAAGAACATTATGAGTTTGTAGCATGTAGAAGATATTAATAGAACATAGAATTCAAAGAGGTTTAGGCCATAGAGCTTGGGGCTTAGGGCATTTGGTGTTTTGGGTTAAGGTTTAGGGGTTTAGGTGTTAGAGGTTAGGGGTAGGGGGTTGCGGGGACAAGGGCTAAGAGTTAAGGTATAGCGGTTTAGGGGATAAAGATTTGGGTTTATTGTTCTTTTGCTTCACCTCCTCATCATTCTTCTCATATTTTTGTTTCTTATTGTTTTTTGTTATTCTTTAGATTTTTATATTTATGTGCGTAACAAATCTATTTTGTGTTTTGATTTCAGTTGTTTGTGGAATTGATGTTTGCTTATCAAGGATTAAGAAGAGTTGAATGAGATAAGTTTGCAAAGCAAGCTTATGATTGAAAAGATAAGTGTATCTATTCGTCCTACTTCCGTTGAATTTCTTTTATGTATAAAATATGTTTTACATTTAACTATTCCTACTTGTTTTTGTGTTTCTTGTTTGTTGTGATCATTCTTTCAATTATTTTTATCGTCCAACACTCTCATTATCCGAAAGGGTCATTTTCATTTTTCGTTGTTGTTTTCATATTTTACCTAACCTTGAAGTGCTTAGCATTTATTTGATATTATGTATTTTGTTCTTTTTTTTATTATAGAAATTATATATATATTTTTTTATTATCTTTCTGCTAAATTGTTGAATGTAGGAAACAAAATTGAATTCTTTGAAGGGGGAGCAAAAGGATAAATCAGGAAAGAACATTAGGAGTTTGTAGCATGTACAAGATACTAATAGAACATAGAATTCAAAGAGGGTTTAGGCCTTAGGGCTAGGGGCTTATGACTTTTGGGGTTTTGGGTTAAGGTTTAGGGGTTTAGGTGTTAGAGGTTAGGGGTAGGGGGTTACGGGGATAAGGGCTAAGAGTTGAGGTTTAGAGGTTTAGGGGATAGGGATTTGGGTTTATTGTTCTTGTGCTGCAACTTCTCATCATTCTTCTC